GGTTTCTGGAAAGGTTGAATAGAATTTCTGATGTAGATTTCGGGTGTGCTTTCAGAATGGGTTGAAAACCATAGGGTGGAGTATATGCATGTGAGATGCGGGGTTAGCCACTGCTTGCTGAAACTACCGGAAAAGAAAATGGAAACCACCATCTAGAGTTTAGTGCTTCATTAAGCCCTTCAACCCGAAAGCCAACCCTAAACACCTCTCCGTCGCCATCGCGGTCAGCCTCATCAATCATCTCCTGGAGTTCCTCGAGCTGAGAATCTCTTGCTCATGCTTCGTCGGGCACGGTGAAAGGGAGAGTAAAATGGGAACTTCTATCCTAGTTTGGTTTTGGGGTTCAGGGTTCAGGGTTGAGTTGTTTGGTATGGGAGCATTTCTAGAAGGGCCTTTTAAAGGGGCCACCACGTCTCCTGTAACGACAAATTCACCAACTTCCGACTAAGCATTAGTATGTCGTACCTACTACTCAGGGTTGGGACCCAGGGCCTAGGCAGGGCATAGGAATTGCATTTTGTGATTGCAGGGTTCGGGGTTTGCTGTACAGGGTATGAGCGTTGTAGGAACAAACTCTGGCGATTCTACGAGGTTTGGGGTTTGGGAGTTCAGAAAGTACTGCTTCATACCCTCCGAGGATCCTTGATGTAGAGACTTCCAAACTTGGGACTCAATCTTTTGACGTTCTAAACCCGATGAATCCATCCCACGGACACACTGTGCCTGCAAAGCTCTCATATACTCCCACAGATGAAACACGCATAGTACAGCCCCATCTCTGCATAGTATAGCCCCTATCACAAGGTCCATTCGTGCAACCTGTGTGGGAACATCCTTGTTTGGGATACTGCGCCAGCCATATAACAGCTCCTAAGTACCTGCAGTGATCTTCTACCCCGTCAGAGGGCGGGGGCAGTAGCCAACAATGTTCAAACCTTGTACACCAGAAGGGCTCTAGCCTCGTCTGTCATTCGCTCACCCAGCTCCTGCTCAGTAACATCTGGCTTTAGGGTTTAGGGTTGAGAGTACAGGGTTTAGGATTTAGGGATGATTGCGCAGGCGACGGCAACAATGGTGATGATCATGCTGTTGTAATTCCAACAATGATAGTCCTAAGAGAGGAGATAGCAACAGTAATTGTGAAACAGCCGCTCATCATACAGAAGTAGCAGAAAAGCCAGGAGAATGTCAAAGCCCTTCACGCAAATTGAGCCCTAACCTGGAAACATCAAGCCTACTCATCATGATACCAATCCTTAGAACAATATCACGAGTTACAGTACCAGTAGAAGCAGTTGCGACAACTAGAAGTCTGATAACAACAATGGTCTTATGCCCCCTCCCTGAACTATATTCCACTGCTCCCTGCAAGGATGTGATTGCCGAAGGTCCGCCTCAACCTGAAATAAACGACAGTGCTAGGGGGGCACATAATGAAATACTGGCGTTATCTATAACAATACTTGTAAGGGATTGTAGCGCATTACCTCGGCATGGCTGGTATGCTTCCCTACCTAGCTGCAACGCAACCTTGGCGACTTCTTCCCCTCACCCTCCACCAACAAACAACATGGAAGACCAGCAAAGGCCTTTTTGAAAGGACTGCAGTCTTTGCCGGCCTTGTAGGTTTCCGTAGAACTTTGCGGGGAGGAGAAAGACCCTCTTGGGATCAAGAAAGCTTTAAAGATATGATACTTTTGTGGTAAAACTCCATGAAGTACCGCTCCTTGGCCACTCGCTTCAGGTTCTTGAAGGAAATCTTGCCGGTCTCATCGTCATCGAAGAGCCGGAAGGCCTTGAGGATCTCATCCTTCCTTAGGGTTAAAGGGTAGTTTCCCAAAACAGGGGGACCCCAATGTAGACCCAAAAATACTATGATCCTTAAAAAAGGGACCCCCAAAAGGGACCCCTAATTTTAGGAAACCCCCAAATTGAGCTTCTCAGAATAGGGGTACCACTCAGGAATCTATGGGGATTATCTCATCCTTCCTTAGGGTCACATAGGAAGTTCCCAAAATAGGGGTACCCAAATGGACCCCAAGGACCATGTAGGGATGAGGGACACGCAGGAAGTTCCCAAAATGGGGTTACCCAAATGGACCCTAGGGGCATGTAGGGATGATCGGGGCATGATGGGTGCCTGCAAAGGATTCCAGCTGATGCCAGCTAGGTTTAACCCATGCTCGGATGTTATCCGAGTCCAAAGTACACACGCTTTCGTCGCCCAATATCTCCGTGTATGGCAGTGTGGTATGCGATGACACGTCTTGCCACAAGGCAGCTAGAACAAAAGACGAGTTGTGTTATCTGCATCCAACTTAGTCTACAGAGCTTTTCTCAAGGACCCATCCCCAACGCACTTGTAAAGTCTCTCTGCGATTTCACCTGGACACAAGCTATAAATCATAACAGTCCTAGAGTCCGGGAAACCTAAATGCCCCGAACACTAAAGAAGCCCTCGTTTCCCCCATTCCATGATCTGTGACGTCAAGGAGCGGATCACGATTCAGGATCTTGTGGGTCATCATCTTCAGGAACCTTTGTATTTCACCAGCTTTGCTAAAATGCTGCACACTTCGAGCTATCGATGTCGACTGAGAACAGCTTCCAGTGGTGTTGAGCACATTAAAGCAAAAGAACAACTCGCTCAAGCTCGACAGCTAGAAATTGGAAATGCGCGACTGAATTTGTGGCATATGATGGCATAAAAGTATCAGCTCATGTGAAAAAGCCTCGAAGCCACGAATTGCAATACTTAGGGTTGCAGGTCTTGCCCAGTCGCTCTTCATAGCCAATGGTGCCGCTACCGTCATCGTCCACGTCAGAAATCATCTTCTGGATTTCTTCCTGCCAGCTCCCTGGAAAACCGTGTGGGGATATACCATTCCCAAAACCAACATGGAAACTTGCTGGTGCTCTGTTTGGCATGCATGTCAGTTTGGAGAGGGGCATAGAGCTTGTCCTGAAAAACTTCCATACCGCCGACTAATCGCTCCGCTGTCTCTGTCTTACAAAATTCCCCCCACCCTCCCATGAAGCCGCTAAATAGCCGCCGCTCTACTTTCTGGTTGTAAGAAATGAAGGAAAAAGAGAATGGAAACTTCAAAATTACTGGTGATTATCATACCCTCATTTCCTCCACTCCCTACCTGAAAAAATCCTCTCGTGTGGCATTACATTTGAGCTAGGGTCTAAACTCCTTAAAAGGGTTGCGTAGGGAACTACTAGAGAGGTTGCTAAGGGGATACTAGGAGTTGAGACTATGGCTCATGTGAAAATATGAGACTGTACCCACGAAATCTGTACAGAACTCCTCCACGACCCTAGCAAACCCCAACCATCGCCTACAACTAGCCTAGAACCCTTTACGCCTTCTCCCCAGCTGCATGGTGGGCCTGAACCCCAACCCTATGGTATTCCTTTGCCATTCCCAAGCCCCAAACCCACACCCCCTGGTATTAACCTCTAACCCCAAACCACTAAACTGGGACGCCTTCTTGGGCTCGAAGCCCAAAGCTCGCATCGCTACCTTCAGCTCCTTGGAGTCAATCTCACCTGGCCAACTTTCCAGATGAAATGTGGGTGAATCCAACTGTCCCCTCCAGCCAGCGTACTCTGGGGTGGCTAAAAGGAATAAAGGGGCGCAGTTCTAGGGATTGATGAGTTACGGTTTGGGGCTTGGGGGGGGGGGGGTGCTCAAACTGGCAGCCTTTTAGGGAAGGTTGATACAAGAATGCAAGATACCCATGCCATTTACCCAGTGTGCTTGTTCACAAGTTTGAATGATTCACTCACTGTCTTCCTCTAACCGCGGTCTAACCCATACCTTTATGAAAGAGCCGTCATGTCGTCTGTGGCTTGAAATCCAGACTGGGAAGTATCTTGACTCAACTGGCCGACCTAGCGGGGCAAAAAGCTGAAAGGAGGGTGGCCAGACAATTTCCAAAAACTTTCAGGGTCGTGAGCTAGTACAGAGATCCCAGGATAAGTCACACAAGCAACGCAAAAAGAGTCGAGTCTTGGCCTGAACCGTCTGTGTCGAACAGATCGAAGGCCTCTTTGATTTCCTAAGCTTCAGGTCAACTGCCTTCTCCACAACGCCATTCAAACAGGCAGTCAGGAAAACTTCCAAGAAGAAACCATCTGCTGGCTGGCTGTACTGTCGATCGAGCGGGCAGTACTTACAATGGAAGCTTCTGCATTCTGCGCATGCCTGCGCTGATGGGTCTCTTCATGAAGAACTTGCATACTCCAGCATACCTTTGGATCCTGATTCAATGTTGAGGGGCCCTACGGAGGCGCCACCCATAAAAACACCAACCTCTCCCTGCTCAACTTGACGAGGCTCCTGCTTCTGTTCCTCAGTCAGCTCCTGTGGCATTCAAGCAGCAATCCACTTGTTACTTTTTGTGCTGCTGGGGCTGTAAGACCGACATGCACTCTCATCATTGCACTGCTTCTGAACATTTGAAGGTGGAGGTGGAACATCAGTCAGGCTTGCCAGACGTGATCGAAATTCCACGCGGGCCACACAAGATATGTTAGAGGAAGCTGGGAACAACATGTCGTCGTTCCCTGGGCTTGTGCAACATATTGCCGTGCGAAATCCCGCGTGCTCGTGCAGTACAGCGCAAACAAAGAGAAGAAGAAAGTTGCTGATATTACTGCTACTACTGTTATTGTTATTTATTGCGAGTATTAATATGAGTATTATTGTTAAATATCACATGTATTATTGTCATTGTTAATATTACTGGAAGTAGCAGAGCCCCTGAACCCTTGGCACTCCTTCTGCTTCTTGCCACCGGCGTTGAATCGACGGAGAGCCATGGCGCAGAGTGGGAGCTAAGACCAAAGGGGCCGTCAGCGTGAGCTAAGAATCCTGCAGAGCCATACGGCCCAGACACAGCCAAATAATGAGGAAAATTGGGGTTGTTATATGAGCTATAGTCCAAACTCCTAGTATCCCGCTTAATAACCCGTATAGTAGTCCCTATATAACTCCCTATATAACCCCCTTTAAGGAGTTTGGACTGTAGCTTATATGGCTTATAGGGGTTACAAATATACTTATTAAGTAAGGTCCGCTCAATATGGAGGACCCTCTGCTGCCAAACTCTGATCATTCTAAATCCGCAAAAACGTCATGTCGGTCGATGTTCTATCTAAACCATGATTTCAGGTGCGGTCGGGTGAGGTCGCTATGATTTGCCCAAGATAATGAATGTTAAGGTGTTCTCCCGCTGGGGTTTGCAGCAAGAAGATTTGCTTCCGAATCTGAAGCGGTTAACTCGCCCTGAACTCAGCCAACACAACTAGCACAACACCTGTCTTACTGGTTCTTAGTAGGGAAGCCCCTTGGACCAATTATGGAGGTGCTGCTCAGGGATCGGTTTCCTTAGGGGCTGGGTCATTCTCGGCTGTGGTGGTCATTATTCATTACATGAAGACCTAAGGAGGCATATGCTCGTCTCAACAAGGAACCAGGAGACATAACTGCTTCCCAGATTACGTGTATTCTTGTGGGTACCTATAATGAGGAAAGCAATATTATTGGGGGTCAATTTAGGTGTCCCCTTATTTGGGGAAACTATGAACTAGGCTCCGGGTGCCTGGATGTCGTGCTGCACTGGGGCTTTCCCAACCCGAGGCACCTGCGAAGGCGAGCAGCAAGAACATTATTCTGAACAGTTTGGGGTTTGCTCGGTGGTCCATGGGTAGCTTTAAGTGGAGATATAGATCTTAAGGATACTTATTATATCATCACTCTTAACTGCCGATGAACTACAAGTAGGATTTTTCACTTGTCCAGGGTTTAGTAAGGGGCAGAGCAGGCATGACAACCTTAAGTACAATCAGAAACACACAACTTGCTGCAAACACTCAGGAGATGCTGATTGCATATCCTTCAAACTCGTTTCATGACTAGAAGCAGCAAGCATCCAGTAGCATCACTGAAAGGACTCTCCTGATGCTGCGAAATTTCGCCGAGCCATGTTGGCTCTCCCGTTGCGCGTGGAATCTGCTATGGTTGGGAAATCCCCGCAGAATTTGGAAGGAGGCCCCTCACTTCGCTTTGGCACTACGACCAAACTGAGATGGCAATTCTGCGCCTTGCCAGCTATTGAGCAGTGCCTCATATTCGTGTCAGCTTTCTGAATCTTTTTTCCTTGCGTGGTGGAACCCACCTTTGCTTGCCTGCTAACCATATTGCTCCGAAACCTGCTGTGAGGCAGTACAAGCTGGTGCGGAGATAGGCAGAACTGCATCCCCAACCTTGCCCAGCATTTGGCCAGACCGTCTGGCACTGCGACCAAACTGGCAAAGCAACTGAAGCCAATTGCCAGCTATTGAGCAGTGCCTCATATTCGTGTCTGTCTTCTAAACCTTTCTCCTTGCGTGGTGGAACCTACCTCTGCGTGCCTGCTAACCATGTTGCTCCGAACCCTGCTGTGAGGCAGTGCAAGCTGGTGCGGGGATAGGCAGAACTGCATCCCCAACCTTGCCCAGCATTTGGCCAGACCGTCTGGCACTGCGACCAAACTGGCAAAGCAACTGAAGCCAATTGCCAGCTATTGAGCAGTGCGTTGTGAAAGGAACATGTCAAGTTTGCTTCAGATGCAAAGGCCCAGACACTGTTTCCGGGGTCTTCTTGCGATGCTAGTAGGAATCGTCATGTTTAATCTATATTAGGCCCGGGTATACATAAAAATCTACAATGCTGTTCAACCTTAACCCAGGTTTCATGCTTCTCAACTTCCGTCTTGTTCAGCAGAACTAGCAAGTGGGACTTCACACCCGAGCTACTTCTGAACTCTTACCTTGGGGGCGAAGCCCTGTTCTCTTTCTTACGGGAACAAGGGAACATACAATCCGTATCTGATATGTTCCTTTGTTCCCTGCTAGCCCTAAGCCCTATCATGGTAAGAGTGTTTTTTTTTGTTGTCTGGTCTTTTTTGTTGTTTGGGCTTTTCGGTTGCTTGTTTGTTTGCTGTTTGGGCGGGGGCG